ACATAAGATAACCACGCTTGTCAGCCTTTCTCCAATCGATACTCCCCCAGTACAGAGCATTTTTAACGATTTAATTCCTCCTTGAACGCAATTCGCGGCTTAAGAGTGCGTTCGCGTGTAACTGAGCTCGATACGATTGGCCCAAATTTTTTCCGAACTACCGAACATTCGCCTATTGAGAAAAAAGAATAGGAATTATTCCGTAAGAGTGAAAAAGAGAGAAATTAACGTTTTCGCTGATTGAATTTTACACAAAGAATAATATCGGCCGGATGAACCACAAAAGTAGACTTTCAAGGAAATTTCAAAGCGGGATCGTAAATCATTTACTGCTTAAACGATCTATTCCAAGGAGGCTGGCGATTTTTTTGCCATCGTTCCTATCTCCACTCAGCCCATTAACACATCAATAAAGCCATTAGCGTTAAATTATGGCCAATTATCGGGCCCTGCCGGAGAATAATAAAATTCTGTCGCAGAGGCGGTACACATTCCGTGCGATTATAGTGTTGCGTAAGCAGCAACGCTCTTGTTTACACGGACGTTAATACTATTAAAGGTTCTTGCTCTTATTATCCATCGGCGAGAACAGGCTACTTTGCGGCTGCTAAAAATAGCCGTGCAACCTTACGTGGCCATTTTTCAAAGCACTTGATCTCTAAGCACTTGCGGAAAAATTCTACTCTGATACGTCTTAAAAGATTAAGTTATTCCTTTCTTTTGCAACATCCTGTAGAGTATCCGAATGTCTTTTCTTCTTTTTAATTTAACATAATCCTCCTTGAGCTTGAAATTTGTACAGAAACAAAATCTCAACATTTTCCCAGAAAGAATTAAAGAGTTGGCAAGTGTACTTTTGCAACACCCTGTAGAATATTCCAGCAACTTCCTAAATAGTCGAGCATATCTCCGTTCAACCTAGGCACCTGCTCACAAATCTCATTTTCACATTCTTGCAACAGTAATTACATTCCCTATCTGAAAACTCAATTTAATACGTTCCCTCGTTTTGTAACACCCTGTAAATTACTCCAACATTTTCCTAGCCAATCACATTTCCATCCAACCTAGCAATTAAAAAGAAAAAAAAAAACCACTTTCTCACACTTTTCCAACATCGATTAACCTTCCCATTTAAAAATTCAAATTGATAAGTCCCCTCATTTTGCAACACCCTGTAGAACAGTCAAACGCGACACCAGCTATCCGTGCACCCGCGTCAACGAAAAAGGGAAGCCTCCGTTGCAGCATCTATGAGCCGCGGCGCTGAATTTGATTATCCATACATGACTCCTATAGCAGAGGAGGAGAGGGGAGAGAGTTGAAGCAACACGTGGACCGTTCTCCATGAAACCGATCGACCTGTACAGATTTCCCTTTCGTCGTGCCCTTTATGGAACATTAGCTCACGGTACGGTGACACCGCCACCTGAAACGCCTGTTTGTATTCATACGAACGTGGTGGCGGATAAATCGCCGCGGCTGGACGACGACGAGTCACAACGCAGCTGCAATTCCGAATACGATTCACCGTAAGAAACCGTTTCCCGCCGCGCGTGCCATTCTCTCGCATGCAAATTCGCGGTGCTATCGCGACGAGGCAACGGGAACGCTGGAACGTCGTGAAAGAGGCTTTCCAGGCTTTTCGAGCGATACGCATCGGAAAAATCGCAGGGATCTCTTTAGAAATTGGCGGTTTCCATGGAACGAGCGTACAGACTTGTTCAAAAGTGAACAGTTAAACGCGAGCTTGAAGGAGGCATGGCTTGTGGTGGGGATAGATGTAGAGGAGCGGGGTAAAAGAGCTTTTTCTTTCTACTTTCTGATTCACGTACAGGGTGATTCAAAAACGTACGACAGTATTTTAAGTTTTAAACGATAAGTGTGGGGAAAAATGAGTTCAACTTCGTTGAGAGATAAAAACAATTAAACGATAATTTAACAGTTTCTGAATCACCCTGTATAGCACCTATTAGTTCACATTTAATTCCCGTCGATGTGTCGAATCTGAATGGTGGCAGCACGTCGCGATCCGACCGAAAAGAAAAGTGGCGCATGGTAAAATCGCCTGCATTCGTTCCACTGGAACAAATTAACGAGCGTTTCTTGTCGCTTTCGAAAGCACACACACGGCCTTTCAGTCGCATTAAAGCAACCAGACGCGGTTAGTTCCGGCTGAAACACGCTGGAAAACACCTCTAGTCGACTTTTTCGCGTCGCACGTCGAACAACGGCGCATATTTGATCGCATAACAGCGTGGATTTCAATTTAATAGGCCCCTTGCTCTTCTTAAACTTTGGTATAATCGTGCAAGTGTATTTTAGGGTTGGTAACCATTTTGAGGTTATGCGAATGTCGGCCATTTTGAATCAGTAAGGTTATGATACTTTAGAATACCTTCAATATAACATGATTAACATAAATTTGCCAAATTAGCTACCCTTTCCTACAATACTACATTTTGTCTTTCATTTTTTAGAAAAGAAAATAATTTGTCTGTTGCTGTATAGTACAGTCATGTGTATAGTTTAATACGTACACATCAGAATACGTAATCATTCTAATAACATCTGACTCATATGAAAATAGGAACTGACACTGAGAAACGGTTGTTTCTTCATGGTCTCAGATTCTATCTGGTTAATTTCGCATTTAAATCATCCGCAATCGGTTTTTATCGCATATTCAAAGGTCAACGAATATGGCGGCCAGCAAATCTGGAACCCGTTAGGCGGAGCGTCAGATTTCTTGGCGCCGGTGCATGAATTCTTGCGAGGATGTATCAGCAGATTGCTCTTTTCCCATTGAGACTAAATCCACGGCTCGGCTAAATCCCTCGGATGCCTAGGCGTGTTTTAAAACGCATACCGCGGATAACTGCACAAAAGGCGCAGGGAAAATGGGACAGCTTTGTTATTTTAATTTTCCAGCCAGATTGCGGCCGTCCCGTGTGGAAAAATTCTGAAACCCTCCCAGTCTGTGCGTGAGAAACATATTGTGCTTGAAATTTTTCTCTGCTTTCGGTATTTTAAGAATCAGAGGAATTCCTGGTGATTAGGTATCTAACAGAACATTAATGGGAACTTCAGTATATTTTCAATTCAATTAAATGGAAAATTTCACAAGTTTGAAGAATAAATATGAAAAAATTATCATTTCCAAGTATAATACAAAAATGTTAATAACTTGATTCCCAATTACCTTCTTAAAGCAAAATACCTAACGCTTGTAAAGAAACTAAATACATAACCTCGTAGAAATATTTGCACTCAACGTTACTATATCTATACACACAGCCAGATATCCGGCTCACCAGAACAAACACCAGCCACTGATACAACTTATCATCCATAACCTATCAACTATCCCCGATACTTCTTTCAAATGCAATCAAACACGAACCCGGACAATAAACACCAGAACCGCAGAATTCAATTAATGACGCCCTATCTAAAACACCGTAACTAACCTCTATGCATAGCGAGAGTCGCACAATGCGACCATAAATCCCTCTGGTGACCATTCAGGGAAAATTCTATATGCATACGCTTCCTACGGTAACCTCTAACACGAAGTGACCGACGCGCGGTGCAGTACGTGAAAAGTGGACAAGCGTCTTGCACGAGCGAGAGATCGATTCCCACGTGCATAGTACACAAGTGAACTTACGTATTTACGATCGAAAATGAAATCGTTTCGAGATCAGGGCAATTACGCTTGTTCTACCCACGGGACGCGAGCGCGTAACATTTAACCGGGTGATTTAATGCGCGTTTATAAATCCGTTTAGCGGTAGAAAACGCTTCGAACCGGCAACGAGACGCTTTTTGCTACGGCCTCATGCTAATACGATTTACGAGTGGCGCGCAAGCGCGGAAGAGAGTTATCAAGGCGACGTTTAAACTGTCGTTTCACATGTATGGACTGACCGTAGAGGCCTATTCACAGTGAGTTTTTTTTTTTTTTCTCCTCAAGAAGCGGTCCGTGGCCACCTGCGACGACGATACGTCACTGCGTCTTGTGACAAGACGCGGTTAAAAATCGCGTGAGTGAGGTTAGGGCGGATTTTTAAACTGCGATTGTGGTTGTGTGCGTTCCGGTATGCCGATTTGCGAGGGTGATATTGGAAAACTGTTAGAATGTATTGAAAATGGAAAATAACATATAGGGTGTTTTAAAATTGAGGTGAAAGTGTATGATGTGTATGGTCTATGTTGTGTGATATTGGTCGTGATAATTTGAATGGTTGAATTTTCAAACACGCGATGATACGATGCTTGTAGAAGTCGATATACAGGGTGTTTCAGATGAAGAATTGAACAGTTTCAAAATATTGAAATGTGATATACTTTGACACATTTGGAAATCAACATGATTAGAGAATATCAATTCATGTACCGGGTGTCTCGGAAGAGAATATTCTTTGGACTAGGAGTGTAAGCATACTATGTAGTACGTGGTCACGATAAACGATGAATTATGGATCATGAATTACTGGCGTTACAAAAGGGAATATCTGAAGAGACGCAGTTTTTTCGCCTTTCAACGTTCGAATAGGGATAAACCACTCTCTTATTCCTGATCTCGTGATATTCACGGTCAGCGGGGAGTACCGCCATAAATATGCTCCGATACACCTAAGAGCGCGAGTTATTTTACTAGTCTGGGTACATTATAGTCCCATCACTTTTTAAAAATACATGTGAAACAGACGGATCTTTGTCTTCGAATCGTGGATAAATAACAGATAAATAAATTTAAAACGTAAAAAAGTTTCTTTCATTTTCATTCTACCCGATGTAAATCATCCTACACATTGCACTACCCGACCTAAAAATATCGGCTCCCTCTTTCACATTGATCGATAATTAAATCATTCGTGAAATTTTGCTTCCTCCATTCTGTAATCTTAATTTTAACCAAACTAATCCTTATCCTTTCTACCGCCACCCAAATCATCCCACACCCTAAACTACGCAATCAAAAAACATCGACTCACCATTTCGTCCAGACTCTTCAAATCATTAGTAACGATCTGCGGCTGGGGTCCGTATATGAGACAAGGTTCCTCCTGCTGCATGTCAGCGTACTCATCGTCGCTCTCCTCGTTCGTAGTGTTACAATGTGCGCCGTTCGCCGCTTTGTTCTCCGCCGCGATCTCTCTATCGATCTGTCTCTCCATTTGCACCAACATCGGCGCCAACATTCCAAATTTCGCGCCCCTTCTCGCCACTTCCAAAAGACACAGGATCACGTGACGTTCGTTCTTTCGCATGATCAGGTCGTCCGTTTCGAATAAAAGGCACTCGATGATGCCCAAACTGTTGCGACACCAGCCGATGAAGTTCGAGACGTTGTCGCGGGCGAAGAAGGTGCCGGCCTTCGCGTTCGGCAGGAAGGCTACGTCGCTCAGCTGGCTCATCGGCAACGCCAGCGACGAGGTCATCGATCGTGTCATCGAGATCTTCCGAGCCTGTCGCCGCGCCACGTACTCCGCCGCCGACTTGCGTACGTTGTTCGCGTGCTGCAAGCAGAAGCGTAAACGGTACATGGTTAAAGGTGTGCGAGGAAGTCGTGAAGAAGATGGAAGATCGGTTCTGTGAATTCGAGGCGCGTTTGATGAAAGTTTCATGCGTTTATCTTTATCTGAATGGCGATTTCATTTGGAGTGGATGCGTTCAAACGTAGCTTGAATAAGAACCATACATTATACGATTTAACACGTTCGCTGACGTTAAAAAATCGCGAGGGACGTGTCGCGCGCCACCAATTTCTAAATACTTTTAGCCAGATACGTGATTTTTACCAAGATTTTCGTAGTAGACTTTTTGATCGGTACAACGTCGACAAATTGTCGACGATGGCACACGGGGTGCAAGTTATTCCGTGGGGACGTATTTATTTGAAATAAAAATTTATATAATAAAATCTTGTTTACCTAAGAATAACTTGCACTGCGAATAACTTCAGTTCTACATAAATTGAATCTTCCCTTTCCTTTTCTTTTTTTTTTTACACTTTCGAATTTATTCCATTCAAATTCCTAACATTCACTATTATTCGACACGATTGCACGAACTTCTAATATTTATCCAATCCCTCTCGACCCAAGCATCCAGCGGCTCTCCTCACTATACCCAACACACTCCACACGGTACTTACAAGCATACTCAGCTGACATTCACCGGCACGACCACTCGCTCCCGCTGATTAAAGAGTCAAACAGACATCGTAGATAGCATCTTAACACCCGCCATGCTAATTGTTCCATTAATAACACTACACTGCCTCCCTACTTCTTCAACATACACATGAACGATAAATATTACGGCTCAAGACTACCATCGAGTGTATACAGGGTGTCGTGTAACTGGTGGTACAATTTGGAAACGGACAGATTCTTATATACGAAAAAACAGATCGAAAATATAAAATAAAATTTTCTCATCCCATGATTTAATTTTCGAGAAAATTGTTTTTGTCAATTTGTTCCTGTAATATAAAACGGGTGCTTGCATTTTTTTTTCATTATGCCGTAAATATTATTGGATCGTCTGGAATTTGGCTTAGCAAATTAATGTGAAATATAAACACGTTTTAATGGATTTTTGATTTTTCGAAATTTTTGCATTAGTTGGAAATCAACTTCAATAGTACTTCAATAGTTAATTTCTACGTTTACTATTATGTAACGAATTTTCCAAAGCAATTTCTTCAATGGAAGAGGAAATGGAAAAATGGAAAAAATTTTATTTCTCATTTTCTGTTTGTTTCTTCAAATTTCTAGGTTACACCGTTACACGACACCCTGTATATACACTCAACTGACGCCTCGAACGTTTTACTATTTTATCATCGACCCCGTGGCTGCTTAAGTAACCGCGTGATAATTGGATATCGTGGACGATGTAAATGAGCTTGAAGCAACGATACGGCATATTAGACGTAGTCTAATAACAGGTTTTGCTGTATACTTTGCTCTATCGTTTTAATATCGACAGGCACCAAGGGGTGACCTGTTATTTCTCGATTAAAAACGATTCATTGGAAAAAGGGAACTTTGGCGTATCGACGTGAAATCACGCGAATCGAGGCGTTATCGGGCTTCCTTTTGAAAGTCTAGAGAACGTTCATTCATCGAGGCTGTGGTTAGCTATTGGTGCTGATGGCTGGTGCTGGGAATAAGGGCGGCCATTGTTTCTCTGGTGAACGGGGACTTTGAAACGTGACTTTTTTTTTTAATACAGCCTGAGTGTGTGTACGATTGATGTGAATGCGAGGGTGATAGGAAGGGTAAGATTGAGAAGTGTGGTTTGTAGTTTGATTTGTGATTATTGGCCGTTGTTAATGTGGGGGAGCAGTAATACCGATGAGCACTTTTGAAAGTAGGTTGTAAAAAGGTCTGAGTGGTGGAAGTTGAATATTGCGTGGAAAAATTTCTGATTATCGAAATAAGTCGCGTATCGAATTTGAATCTGAAATGAATCCAATTTGAATTTGAAATTTGTCGGTAAATATAAATTTAAAGTGGATCGAAGTTGAACTTAAACTTAAAAAAATTCGAATGAAACAAAGCTCCACCAAATTAAACACAACATCCAAAGTATCGCTAACCTAACCTCACTTCCAATCTCCACTTCCAAAGTACCTACTCGAAATTCAATCCCAAGAAAATTGAACTCCCAGAATTGAACCAAGCGCCTCCAATAAAAGTCAAACAAAGGGGAAAAAAGGAATCCATGTGATCAAACCAAATTATCCTTCCCCTAATGATCATAGCCTCCGCTTCAATGGGGCGAGTATCGCGTTTCTCGACCCCGAACGGCTTCGCTCTCGTTGAAGAGTGAACAAAATTTTCGCCAGAAAGGTCAACAGTGGCCATAAAATATCCAGTACCGTCAGAGATTTCCATTAACGTTTCAGCTCAACTATAGAGTAACTCTACACTCGGTCCACAATAAAACACGACTTCAATCGACAGATGCGGTCTTGCATTGAAACAAAAAAGCGCGGAAGATATTCTGTTGTAAAAACCAAAGTGAAAAAGAGAAAAAAACAAACGAGTTAATTATTCGTTCCTTGTGAAATTTCTTTCGTTACTCAACCTGTTCTCTTCTCTCCTTTTTTCCCCTCCTTTCAGAGTCAGCATTGTTCCTTTTGGCTAATTCAGAATCGCTTACGAGGTCAATGTTACGTGGATTTAATGCCTGCTCATCTCACTTTCACCATACTATAGCGGAGACCGGTGCTGGTGGGCCAGTTTTTCAGTTTTCGATTTTTAATAAATTATGTGGGTGAAATATCATTATAACGGATATTGTATTTCCTAAGACATATTAAAGTTGACTTAATGTTACAACAATTAAGGTATTTTAACGTTTTTTCTAACACCTTGCAAGCTGGAGACTTACAGTATGGGGTAGGTTCACTGTATGTACAATCAGTTAAGAAAATGTTATTTGCAACTTATCTTAGTGGTACTAAAGCAACATAATGTGAATAAAGTTGTTTTATTATAAAATATTACTTGTCCTTCTCTCACATTTTAATAATAAACTAAAAATTTGTTTTCAACAAGTTAAACATAAATTATAATTTTAAACAAAACATAAAAATCGCTTTTCTAACAACAAATTCACAATTTAAACCTGTATAGTAGCAACAAAAACTTAGAGAATTATAGAAACGTAAACGTAAACATACACCCTATAGTTCTTGTGTTACCTAACCTTATAAATAAGTTATTAAGAACGATCATTTTGACTATTACTCTAAGCAACACTAAATTATTTATGTATAAAAAAAAACTATTTCAATAGATCGTCTAATAAACAAACTTCGAAATATTCCTTTAACATTTATTCTATTGTAACTACAGAGAATGTGAAAACAAAATCTTGAAGAAAAAATATTTACTTAGGTAGCCAATTTTTCGACAAACGCTGATAACACTTAAACAACGTGCGATCACGGTGTCGAAAAGAAATAAATGGCATAGTAGAAGTGACTTGCTTCTACAATCAATTTTTCCGCGGTATAGCACACGTCGATGCAATGTTAACAATTAGTCAACCTACCCCTACAAACAAGGTCTCCCCTACACTTGCTGTTACTGTTAAACTATGAAACAGGTTTTGGACCACGATAATTCTGCTATTGATAACAGTTTTTTGCATACCCAGTTGCTACGTGTAATCGCTGCCTATAAATTAATCCTTAAAATCACTAGGTATACAGGACAATTTCCTACTTTTTTTCTGAGTAACATTTACTCTTTTTCCTTTTTTTACTAATTTATGTATTGTGATAACTTGTCTCCTTTTTGCAAAATTATCATTCGTTATTGCTTGAAAAGCACTTTCTTTGTTTACTATAAAAGAAAATTAATTATTACGAAATTAATATTACATTAAATTATATTAATTATAATAATTCAATTCGTATTTAATATTCAAACTTTTAAATATTGAATGATGGATTATATGAAAAAATGTTTAAAAAAATGTTTGATAGACGACAAGTCCGAATTTCTAAGAACAGAAGCGAACTGTTAAACAACGAGTTATGCAATTGGAACATTTGAAAACTCAATTACACAGAAGCGGTCGTTTTCTATTGAGCAAACTTCCCGTGTACGATTCGTGCCGCGTATCTGCCAGACCGAGCCGCTCTTAATCTGACTATAGGCGACTTGATAAAGCAGTTAAAGAGGTCAGCTGGCAGACGCTGATCGATTGTTCTGTAATTTTTCATTTCCTGTCTCGATACGCTACCGTGAATTTCAATAATCCCCAACAGGAGAACACAGAGTATCAACGTCCAAGAACCTTTCTTCGAACTAATTTAAGAATCCTTTGTTTTCCATCCCTATACAAAATTTTTTAATGTTTTCCGAATTAGTCGTTTTAAAAATTGACGTCTTGTGACACGAAGGATGTTTAATTTCGATTTTTAATTTAATATTAACATGAGATAAATTGAGAAAACGTCGAGATCGATCCATTACCAAAACTAAACTTCAACTTCCGCAAAATACTAGAAACTACACGAGAGAAACGACGAGAAACGCAAAATCGGAATAGGACATAACTGTTCCTCGAATCAATTTCCGTTCGTTCGCGTGAACAGTGAATTTCCGAAATTGGCGGCACAGAATCGATCTGTAACCTACTTGCTTCGTTTACGGAATCGGAACGGCCCAGTTTTTAACCTAAAAGTCGAAAAAGAAACACGAAAAATTTGCAAAACTTCTAATTTTCTTTCGAAGGGGTTTAAGAGGTTAAGTGTCGTAACAGTAAAAATCGTAATATACTGTCGCGTGAAAACGCACCTTAAACAAATATTTCGATTCTCTATTAGATAGTTGAAATTTTAATTATTTGTCACTAATTAGCAGCTGAGTAAATGTTCACACGTTATCTTTGTAGCCATGTTTATACCGGTCGATATTATTCGATACTACGGCAAACGATATATCGAACAATGAGAGCGATCGACTTCCACTTATGGCGGACGTGACAAAAA